ACTCTGACGGCTCAGAAATTTGAATGCAAGTCCGTGCGATATCTGACTCCTTGAATGTTGGGTGAAGATCGGCCTGGTTCTCAGGTAGATTTCGCGACTCTGAGGCATCATCGTCCTGCTCTGACGCTGATGGTTCTGATCCCTCCAAATCTCGTCACTGCTTCGCCAAGATAATGGTAGTTTTGACCCCATGTGTGCTTGCCACTAGGGGACAAAAACCCTGCAGTCACCTCGGCCATCCTCAGCCATTGACTCTTGTTTGCCTTTGGCCCTAGGTGGCTTCTTGAACAGCTGTGCCCGGGCTGGGCATAGATGGGCCTAGCAACCCTGTGAAACAAGAACAACTGCTGACTTCTGCATGATATGGCCGGTCCGCATGACTTCTTGTCAAAGTTCAGACGCTTCGCGCTGAATATCATGCGGAAGGACTCTGCGTCCGAATCTCAAGCTGGAGATGTTTCTGGCCAAAGTTCACAGCAGAACTAGAGAAGCACCAATCATAATCCCTAAAGATCATACGGACAGACTCTGCATCTGAACCTTAAGCTGAAGAAGGCTTGCCCGGCCTCCTCCTTGAGAATATCATCGGGCTCCTGCGGCGTGCAGCATGGGCCAGTCATTGATTCCATGCCCCGTCCCTCTTCCCGGCCAGTCTTCTGCGCAGCCTTCCATACCTCCCATACTGTTCTTGTTTTATTTGGATCTCCCGCAGGAACTGACGGAAGGGAGCTCCCAAACCTCCATACTACATTTTCCGGTCTGCCAACCCTTGTTGCCTCCAAACATATGTGACACTCGCGAGAGAAAGAAAGCTGAGCAATGCAACTCCGTGAGACTGCAAACTTGGCAAGTTCTAAAATCACTGGTGGCCACGATCTGCGACGATCTACTGCGAGAGCCTTCGTTCTGCCACGGCCTGTGCTAACGCCATGTGTGGGTGCTCCTCATGTACAGGAGAGGCACGGTCGTCCAGCTTCAAGGCCCTCATGGGCGAAGCACACCCACCTGGAACAGCACCATCGGGACTTTATCTGATATCGCTGCACTCCCATTTTCAACAGAGACTTTTGGTGCTCTGCTAGCTTCTTTTTATTGGCTCTGCGTTTCATCTGGAATCCCTGTCTGTGTCATCCCTGCTCATTGACTGGCATATCAACGCCCTCCCCCCAGAGCACCTGCAGAAGACAACGCATCGTCATCAAGCGAGCCGGCATCAGGTGGGCGTGATCCCCTGACAAAGGGGTAAAATTCCAAGCTTGGCTTTTCCGTGTGATCAATGCGGCTGCAAGTTACTTGATTTGTGGGGTGCCGTAAGCTTCGGGTCAGCGTTGGGAGACACCTTCGTGTTCTCAGGCATCACTCGGAGGCGAAGCTCAAAGTTTGGCGGGCAAACTATGCATGCCCGGCTTTGCAGCAATCACAACATGGATCCGCGTGCTACGTGTTGAAGCCGAGCGACACTCGATTGGGCTTCGATGACTTCCTGACCTCTGCAGTACCTTAGCAACATGAGCTTTGTGCAGGCAAAGCCCTCCTCGCAAAACAGCTTTGCTTGCACAGGGACAAACTCTTGGTCGTGAACCGGACCAGATTGTCAACGGTCGAGCAAGCTGGCTTGAGCAGGTCTCACTTCGCAGAGGACTGCGCAGGAAGCTACTGGGCCGGATGTCTGGGTTCAGGAGAAGTTGGCCAGGCACATTCTCAGTCTGGCCATGGTGCTTGCTTTCGACGCCTGCCGAGAATCAAGGATGCCTGGGCAAGCGCATCATTCTGATCCTTCAGACCTCATGGACCTCGAAGCATCTGACACACCTCATCGTGCATCAGATTTCCCTGCGAGATCACCCCGGTCCAATGCTGCAAGCGCAAGAAGAAATTTTCCGGCGACTGCACATCGCAGTCAGGACAGCACAGCTTGAACATTGTGTTTTATGTGGCAGAAGGCAGCACTGGGGCTCCGCGTGTCGTACAACTTGGGAAGGAAGGGTTTGGCCGAGACAAGAGGAAGCACAGCCAAGCAGAGACTCGAACTCCGCTTAATTAGTTTGCTGCAGGTCTGTACGCCCCTGGCGTTGTCACTATTTTTTGGCCTCCGTGAGAAAACAGGCCATCAAGGGACAAACTTCACAACCTGGATGGCAAGGTTTGTCTACGGAGTCTGCTGTCATGTTTACTGTCTGTCCCGACCCTGAGCAAAGTGCTCCCACCTGCTCCGCTCATTATGGGGTCCGAGAGGCTCCGCTGCTGCTCGGATTCGGTCGCGATGCCCTGACAAGCATCCGGAAAGCGGCAAGGAAAGAAGTTCAACAAGAAATGACAGCCGCTGGCATGCCTTCTCTCGAAAAGTCTATGCCCATAGGAGCCTTCACAAAATAGTCTTGGGTCAGAGGCCGTGTCGGGAAGCGAAATCCTTCTACTTCTGCGGTTGAACTCTCTGTTCGCAGCTTTCTCATACAAAACACAGGAGGGCCAAGGCGGCACAAGGCGACTAAGGCCACTTCCACAACAGGGGACAAAGACAGAGCCGGGAGTGCGGGTAAAACAGGCAGTAAATCTTCCAAGACTGTAGTGCAGGATTCCTGCACACCTTGTAGCCCCCACAATGCTCAGAGCATGTTGAAACCGTAAGTGCAGGTGCGGCACAGCACCAACAGTGGTCGATCCGAAGCCTCGCGACTCGCTGATTTTGCAGGTTTACCATCCACGCATGGTGGCCCGGAGCAGTGGTTTGCAAATTTCGAACGGCAAACTAACTGCTGCCAGCCCGCTGAAGTCGCCAGGCTTTTCTTTGGACCTCAGCTGTCGACTCGGCGAGCCGGTCTTGCAACTAAAATCAGAATGTCAGAAGAATCACTGGTGCTGGTATGTCGAGGCTCTGAATGAGGTCTCAGACTGCGCGTGAAAAGCAGGCTCCTATGCACTGGGCCTTCCTTTGTGATGCAAGCTGCGCTGAAGCCGAATTCTGCATCTTTACTGGAAACACACAGCATGCGTTTGTGTCGGGAGGCTTGGCAAGAGTCCTTTGATCCTCTGCCCGTACACCGTGAGCCGAGCCCTTATGGACCCACGAACACCCCGCAATCCAGCCCTTGACAAGTCTGTCACAACAAAGGTGCCCTCCACGATTCTCTTCTGCCAGATCCGAGTAGTTTGATGCCACACGCCCAGGGACAATGTCCTGCAGAACTTCTGACACTGCAGAAAGTATTATGGACTGCTTAGTTACGCCAAGCGCAGGCAAAGGGCGGTTACGAAGGACTTTTCGTCAGTGTTTTGTTGTGCTCCTTTTTTGTGTTGGCCAGCTTCTTTATTTGACACGTCATGCAACTCCAGCTGGACCAAGTCCAATCACAAACCCTCAGTTAGACCCTTCTCTAAGCTGCGCCGGGTCGAATCGCTCATAGGCTTGCGCAACTGGCCGATCGCCCTGCTCCCGCATGTAACGACAGTAGTTACTGTAGCACATTTTTTGGGGTCGCTGTACAAGGCTCGAACACTTTAGCTTTGCCTGCAAATCTACACGCTGCTTCAGCGAAGTGTTTCAATAGTTGGTTGCACCACGCGCCTTGCGCGGCCGCCTTGTTGGCTCAAATCGTAGCATTTGCTTTGGGATCAAGCAACTTTTCCCGGCCATCCGCTTCAGGAGTTCTCTTCGTCTTTTTGATGGTTCTCCGATTTTGTAGTTCCCCTGCTTTCGGAGTTTGAAGCTTCTGGGGTTGTGGGTGGGTTGCGAGGGGGCGCGGGGATAATGACGAAGCCTTCCACCGGTCATGGACAACGAAGCCTTTCAGCACGGGCGGGCTCAGAGTTGCGAAGGGGTGGCGCTGCCCTCCCAAAGTTGCCAATCATGTCAAGAAATTCTTCAAAAGGAACGTTTTCGAGCAACAGCAAAAAGCTATCCCCTGGCAAAGGCATTTGCAAGTACATGGGGACCTTTGTTTCCAACACTCAACTGCCTTGCCGAAAATAGCTCCGGAGAGCATTGAAGCCTATTCAAGTCCTGCCCGTTACATGGTGTAATGCCCCACAGTGGGTTGCAAATCCAACACTCTTGAAACAATCTGGTTCTGTCAGGCCTCAACGGCCCCGCAAATTACAGCGCAAAAGCCATGTCTTCACTTCTTCAATCGGTTGCCGGCCGGTGGCCGCGCAAGGCGCGCAAACCAAAGAGTTGATGTGACGTGTTGAACACTTATGGATGCCAATTTTGCAAGCACTCTGAACAACTAGCTGCTGTCGTTCTTGCGATCAAAGTGCGAGGACATGCTGGGGCTATATACGACGACGGCGTGTGCATCAGCGGGCCGTGCAGCTCAGCTTGTCAGCTCGATTGTCAGTGACGCGGGGCATTCTCTGTAGCATTTGGCCTGTGCACCGGACCTCGCGATGCAACCCAGAAATGCAAACCTGACTAAATGCCGAAAATACAGCAGCTAGGTTCCAGCCCTCTAGCCATTCCACTTTCATCGGAAGCAGCATGAGGCTGGAGCTGTTGAGCAGAATTTGCTCAAATGAAGAAGAGCTGCGGACTCTTGGTTCGTATTGTCTTTTCGCTGCAGCTTTTCAACTTAGGCTTTTGATTCTTCCGGCACGAGGTTCATGTGGAACTCAAAGGAAACTGCGAACATTTAGAGAGAAAGAACACGGCTCACCGCAAAAGAGCGTATGATCCAAGGTCAGGGCATGCCCCATGCCAGGCAGTTTCTCATGTCTCTCCCCTGCCAATCTTGGATTATGAACACCACGCAGTTATGCGCAGTTCAATCAAATCCCTTCGTGTTTGTCTGGTCTCCTAGATTCAAGATTGCGACTGGGGTTTCTCGTGTATTCTCCAGGAAGCACTTGGGCAGAACCGCAAGCTGGCTCGGCTAGCCAAACCACCCGAACTGCGTGCAAACGGAACCGCCAACACACCGCGAAAGCACGAAGCACAAAACGCCGCCACTGTTTTTCTGTTAATCGGGATGGGGCCAGCAAACGGGGTTGACAAACAGATCCTGCTAGAAGCTGCTGTCCTCCTGCTGCGGCCCAGCGTCCGCCTCTGCCTGGACATCGAGCGCGAAGAAGAAACTTCCCACCTAGTTTGCTTGACAACCTGCCTGTCCACGCTGTGCCCGGCAGCTTCGATTCAGTGTTCGCTCAACTCTACTTCATTCTCCGAACAAATCTTCCAACCAACTGTAAAGACTTCAGTTGACGTGTCAGGAGCATCGCCGCTACAACCTGTGTGTCGGCAGCAAACAGGGCAGATTGCCTAACTAAGCTGGACTGACTAGCTAGCCATCTCACGTCTGTGTGCATACCGCGACCTTCACAATCCTTCAGAGATCTTAATTCCCGGTCCTGGCCCTTGCGGTGCCTGTGCATGCTTGGCCGAGCTTGGCAAAACTCCCAATCCATCCGTGTCATCGAAGCAGTGCCCAGATTGCCGAGAGGTGACGACCTTTTCTGGCACGCAGTCGAGGCTACAAAGGGGTTCAGGATCGTGGTGGCCTTCTGGGTAAAGGAACTCGGGTTTTGATCCTGATGACCCTACCAAGCTGGTTAAACACGTCCGTACAGTTAACGCTGCAAGCTTCATGGTGCAGTTTCCAGTCTACAGGAATGTGTTTGCAAATGTTTGCAGCATTGATGCCCCCGGTGCTCTTCGCGGAATGTAGCTCGAGCGGTCTTGGAATATGACCATCGGTTTGGCCACTGCCACGCCAGCAATATGACCGCAGCTGAGCTATCCCTGAAGAGAAATTCTCAGCGGGCTGCAAAGTTTTCGCAGACTGGGCACCAGTCTCTGTGCCGTCCAGCCATGTCCAGCCCCCGCCATCCCCCGCCGTCCGCCCCACTCGGTGCCGGTCCCTGCTTTTCTCCATGCGAACATGCGTCTTGGCAAATGTCAACCACACGGTCGCAATTAAAAACATTCGTGGCAAACTCTGACTCTTGTTGCTGAGCTGAGATGCCGAAGATTCGTTCTCTTTCGCCTTCTCCCCGCTGCTTTGCCTGCTGCGCGACGGATTCCTTTGCGATGGCTTCCTTGGATATCACACACTAAGTGGTCGTCAAAGGTCAGTCTTCAAAAGGGAAGTCATGCTTCGAGGACGGTTTGGGCCAGAAATTGTTGGTCCACACTGGCTGTATCCGTCTATGGTTACAAAGGCACTTTGTTAGACATGCCTGTGCGCAGCTATATATGTATGGATGTATGTACGTACGTGCGTATGCGCGCATGTGTGTGTGTGTGCGTGTGTATGCGTTTGTGTGTGTGCATATGTGTGCATATATGTATGTCGATGTGCCGCTCTCTCTTCTTCTCCCAGGCATAGAAGGCGGGCTCTTTCTCTCTCTCTCTCTCTCTTGCTTGCTTGCTCTTTCTTTCTCCAGGGTTGTGGTGGGGAGTTGCCTCCCCGCTTGCTTGCTCTTCTCTCTCTCTCCCTCTCTCCCGGGCATAGGGGCAGAGTCAGTGCACCGGGCTCCAGGCCTGCCAGTGCTGTTGGCGGGGCAATGGCGTGAAAGACGAAACATCACGAAAGGGTGGAGGAGAGAATAGGTAATAAACCAGCAACTCTCTTCTTCCACACAGTCAAAGGAGGGGCACAGCACCCTCCCTCGCGCGCGGGAACTCTTCTTCTTCTTCGGGGCTTAGGGAGCCGTCCAGGCTCCCCGCACCGAATGGCGCACCCCATCTTGGGGCTCTTTAGCGGCGCGGGAACTCTTTCTCTCTCTCTCTCTCTGTCCCTCTCCTCCTCTCTGTATGTATACATATGTATATATGTCTATACATAAGTGTATGTCGCATCGTTTACAATATATGGTGTATCTCCGTCCCTCCTCGCCCTCTAGTTCACAGTCTCGGATCGAAAACTTGTCTCTTTAGGCTGATGCCACCCTGTACGAAGCTTAAGGCCAAGGCAAGGAAGCAGAATTTTACTAAACTTCTTGGCAAAGCATCGCAGCTGTCGACATTGAGGCCTCCGACAAGTGAGCCATATTCCGGAAGACCTTCGCAGGGCGGCCAGTAAAATAGGACCCGAGCCATAGAAAGTTCTTTCCAGTCGAAAGCCCCTTTCCTGGCCTTGGACACCGTCTGGCCGACCTTGGGTCGAACCGTTTCATGGTCACCCTTTATTTGCACTATCAGGACCACTTCCAAGGCGACCTCGGTGCGGATGGTTCAGTCTTGATATTGGGCCATCATGGGGAACCTAGACTTCGAACTCCATGTCTTGAAAAAGTGAGTGGGAAGGAGGCCGCTCAAACACCCGCTTGGTTTCCTGGCACCGAGCACTCACCCTGCGAAGGTGTCTATACCAAAACCGCAGAGCTTTCTGCAGACTCGATGCTCTCGGAACACGCAAGGAAGGGATTCGCCTGGCTCAGGGGCAGGAGAACGGTCTGCACGGCTCTGATTCTTTTGAGTATGTTAGCGGGCTTTGCCTCTCATGATTGCACACACACAAGTAAGACTCCAGGACTGCACTCTGTGCTGTACGCTGTTTATACAGCATAACGGTTCATCGTTACCACATCTCAAAATAATTTTGCAGTCTTGGGGCAACGCTCTTGCAAGTCTCCGGAAGATAACTATTCTCGCGCAGTACTGTTTTCGCATATCGCTCGTTGTATGTACACGGTCACAAGCCGAGGCCAAATGAAGTTGCTGCTCACTCTATGACAAGTGCAGTTTCCCCGAGAATCGAGTCAACGTGCAAGCCACAAAATATCTAAGCTGATGGATCTGGACTCATCTGGTTGACTGTGCATCTCGTCCCCAGCCTCCTCGCCGAACTCAGCACACTCCCAACTCCGCTCAGCATTGAGGTTCTGGACCTGGAAGCTTCGCAAGTCTCGAGCTGGGTGGAGGAAATACACTTGAATGACGAAGTGTTGCCACGGAAAAATTGCCCGCGGCCAGAAATATCAAGCAACGACAAGGACGCAAAACTCTCCACTGCTTCTTCAGGACCCAAAGAAGACATTCGCATGATTTCGCATGCATATACATTCTTAGGCCCATGCAGTGGTGGTGGTACTATTACGACTGTCTGCTGTGTTGAACTGCTGTGGTCTGCGGCCCCGACGTCATGGAAGCTACCGTCTGCGCCGGTGCCGCGGGTGTGCGCAACGTCGGCACAGGAGACACGTCGATGTTGTTGGTTGGTGAAGGTGGTACCTCGGACCTGTCCGCACCTGAGCGGGTCACAGGCCGCTGGGGGCGGAGACCAGGCTAACACAGGTGAACAAGGCTTAACAGCATGCCTGGCAGTCGCAGCCGTTGAAGCTGCTGGCAGAAGCTAAGTTGAACACCCCTATGTAAGTAAGCCACATCAACTGACGCACTCAAATCGTCTGTGCTGTCCTCCGAACTAAAAATTCCAAGCTCGTCTGGAATCTCGTCTGATTTAGGTTGCACAGTTTCCGCTAGTGAACTATGAAACTTCAAGTTTGGCGCCCTCGTTCTCGGAAAACTCATCCAGGCTGATGTCTCCTCGGCTGCGACCGGATAGCATGCATGTCCAAAGGGATCCGCTTGCAAAACCTATGGTCTCTATCTGTCAGAAGTACAATAAGCCACGTTGTAAAGGTGCACTCCATTGAACACACATGGAGCCACGGCGATTGCATGCATTTCAGTACTCATGGACCTGCCTATCCCCAATCCGAATAGCGTGAAGAGACTTGCAGTCGCAGTAGCTTCAGCTTCTACCAGCTAGCCTGACAGGATGACCCGCTTCGCCCACAACTCTCGATTGCTGTCCTTGTGTTTGTTTTCGCTCCTCTGCTAGGATGACTCGACTATGGTAAGGTCTGGAGTCGTACACCCAGCTCCTACGCAAAGGCGCGACCTTTGTTCATCACCATCCCACATATCCCACATGAAATCCTCAGAATCCTCTTGACATGCTCAAACCCGGCTTGCACATCTTTGCTGATCGAGCTGCCGGTAGCCTCCAAATAGCCTTCGTGGGGGAACCATTTCGGGAAAACTCCAACTCCACACTAATTTGGCTGTCCTTCTTGGGAACGTGGTCGACCCAGCAGACTTCTCTTTCTAGTCTTGCACATCTGCTCGGCCAGGGTATGCCAGGCTGGGGGAGTGCAGGCTGCCAGAGTGGTACGGCCGTGGGAGTTCAGCAAAGCAGCCGTAGCGCACCAAGGCAGTGTGGGCAATCCGGAAGGCCCGAGAGGCCTCTCCATGGGAAATTGCACAGTGCCAAGGCCTGGGGGCATCCCACCCCCTTACTACATCATCCTACTACAGTACGTAGTGCAAAAAGCGCTTGGGAGAAACTTTAGGTCTGAGCCCGGATACTCTCTTCAGTACTCTCAGCCTGACGCACCTTGCGGGACTTCGTCACTTCGGGCGCCATTTCGCGGAGCTCGTTGAAGCATGCCACGGCCTTGGATGAAGCTGCCGGTTCCCTGCTTACCCATCTCAGACTTCCCAAGGCCCAAGGCATTGTGAGAAAACACGACGTGTCTGAGAGACCAGGCACAACAATCTAGGCTTTTTTGAGAGTCCAAATAGCCCCTGGCAACCCTGAGCGCTTCTGCAAGGCTCTTGAACACTCGAACCCGCCGTGGATCCAGAACGGCCCTCAAGAGATCGGCATCTTCTCTCCGGGCAACGCTCGGCCGATCTGCAGCCTCTTTGGACATCCTGGGACGGTCCCAAGAAGTCGGAGGCGAGCTCAGTCAGACAGGAGGGGGAGTTCGGTGAGGAGCACAAACCCATTTTCGCTATCTTCCGTTTCTTGCCACTGATGTGCTCCTGGGAGTCGACTCGCCCGATTTGGAAATAGGCGACATCAAGAGTACACGGCGAGCTCAAATTGAGAATGAACCTTGTGACCAGCGATGTCCTTTATCCAATTAAGCAGGAGCTTTCAACGATTCCAGCTAGCGTTTCTTGAAGGTCGTTGGGGGTCGGCTTACAAGCTAGCCCGTCTCCGAGGGGTCGGTTGCTGCAGTAAGTCGTGATTCGACGTCGACATCGACGGAGCTAGCGGTACAGTAGGTGCTTCCAGGTCGAGGCGAGGGACATCCGCAGCACCAAAGAAACGACTGGACGCATGCTGTCGTCGTCCAACTCTGGGATTTCGACCTGTCTGGGGAGAGCTGGAAGCTTCAGGGTTTTTGGAGGGCTCAGGGTCTTTCTGCTGGTTCGTGGAGTCCTTGGAATCAACCGGATGCGTAGAAAGCCGTGTCAACTCACGGAGCTATTGCCTCACATTGCCGGGTCTTCTCCAACATCTCCTGAGAGAACAGGGGGCTCGGTGTCACGAGAGTCTGTGGATGTTGACCTCCCTGAATGGTCCTCGTGCGTGCCGGCCCAGAATGGCAGCGCTCGAAATATCATAAAGTAACTCAGGACTCCCAGGGCGAAGACGTCCACCTGCGCTCTTGAAGCTTGCACTTTGAGCGGCTCCTTCCCCGAGCAGCGCAGGTGCTACTCTGCTACTACAATACCGGGCATGGTGCCAGGCTCATGCAATCACTGTCAAGCCTGGTTCTGACAGCAGAACAAGGCGATGTCACAGCAGGTGGCAGCTTGATTCATGGGGACATTCCAAGGGTTGCTGCCTAAGCCTAAGCGGCATCCTGCGGCTACAGCCCTCGGCTCGTCCAAGCCGCCAGCTCGTCATAGAGCCGCGGAGTCGGAGCGATGATCTCCGGTGCCTGGGATGCGATCCATGTGCGTTGCGACAAAACTCTGGCGGACATTCAGCCACGTTACAGCGTAGCCGGGAGACCCAACAGGGCGGCACATGGCTTCCTGTCGAAGTGGCAGAGGTACATATGATCTGTCTAAAGCTCCAGCTCTGCCATCTATTGGAGGACAAGACTGCAACGAGAATGATTCACGCAACCTGTTCTGTACAATTGTCTTCACCTGGTCATCAAGGTAGGCCGCAATGCCAAAGTCCTGAGAAACACTGCAGTCCCAACAAGACCTCACAGATGGTCAAGTCAACTTGCAGCATCTCCCGTCAGCAGAACGATGCGATCTTAGGCTTCTTTAGACACAGCCACCCAACAAGAAAGAGCAACAGCCCGTGACCGTAACTAGCACTTCATAGCCGAGGATCAATGAGCACAGCATGCTCCTTGTGCATCACAACATTTTCCTTTGTTGCCAGGAGGTCCAGTCAAAGAACATATGCGAAGACATCTGCGCGACCATTCCCATTGGCATTCTGCTACGTACAGGCCCCAGAGTCTGTGGAGGGCGTGGGTTGCTGACGACCAAACTTACCCTGACTCTCGACACTGCTCGGGCGTGGCCTTCATGCCTATTGATGCGTGACCTGCGATTTTACTATGACAACTATGACCACTATTATACTTGCTCCTGCTGCTGCTGCTGCGGTTGTTTCTGATACTGTTCTCCGTTCTGAACACCCCAAGTCTCGGCTTTGACATCTCGGTGAACGATGCGCAAGCGATGCAGATGCGTCAGCGCTGACGCCAAGCCTCGACAGCATCATGGACCCTGAAACTGTGACACTGCAACTTCACCAGACCTGCCACTAAGCGGAAGCAGCATTTGTCCACATTAGTCGAGTGATTGCGAATGAATCATGATGTATCATGCTGTATCGACGCCGATCCGGTCTCAGCTTCAACCAAAGATATGCAGTGGAGGCCCATGGGAAACACCCCAACAAAGAGAAACTGCAGATTGTGCACAAGCAGCCCTTCCACCACCTACATGCTTGAGTGTCTGCTGCCGTTCTGAGCATCAGGGCCCCTTCAGGCAATGGCCTGCCAAAGGGCCACACCAGCGGGTCAAAAACTGCCATGGAAGCTGGGGCCCGGGCCGGCTTGAATGTCGAGAATGCGAGCAATCGACAAATACTTCTCCTTCCACGCACCCATGTAACATCATGTAACAGGGTACATTTCTGCATGGCTCTAGACGCCCATATCAAAGGGAGGCATTGGCAGCTGCAGTAAACTGAACCCCTTCCCCTTCGGTTGACATGAAAACATAACAGCAGAACGGTTTGTTCATTGCAGTTCGGGCACATGCATGCATGAAGCTTCTATCTCGTGAGCTTCTGGTGAGGGATGGGTTCTTTTCAAGGATCCCTATCGACAGATGCCGCCATTCCTGTGGAGATCTGACAGCTTTCGTCAGAATTAGCCTTTGCTGTTCGTCCTAATCCGTCCTCTACATCAAGTCTTCTGGGTCTCGATCACAGGGCATCCTCTGAAGCCACTCTCAGAAATAAGGCCTTGATGATGTCGAAGAAATCACCTCCCGTGCAGTGCTCCATCACTAGAAGCCAGACCACCTCACAGGAGGGACAGGATGACAATGATAAGCCGTGTACTACCAGGTTCGCCACCCGCACTTGGTAGAATGTCACACTCGCCTACCCGATTTGCCAAGTCTGCATAAGTCTGCCGAAATAAGTGAATGCAGCGTCGCAATACGGTCAGGTATCCTCTTTTCAGTAGCCTCGACTGAAAGATTGCCAAAATCTCTGTTCGCAGTTCTATTCGCAGTGTGCACAATGTGCGAATGTAGGTCGCTGTTAATGCTCGCCGGAATTTCCAAATTTATGCACAGCTGAGGTCAGGAACCCGAGGCAGGCTGTCAACCCACACCCTTCTACCCACTTGTGAATGCAAGCTGCACTGGACTTCTTCCTCTGCGCCTCCGCGTAGATGCCTGTGGAGGAAGGCACCACTTCAATCGGGTTCAGGAGTGAGCTCAGATGCATTTCCAGGGCTTGTGGTCCCATTCAACGAGCCGGTGGCCTGTGTTCATGAAATTTCGACAACACACCATTCCCTGCGGCTTTAGACTCTCGAAACTCGGACACTGCAGGCGAGGTAGGTAAGCGCGTTGGCTTCTGTTGCCTCCTTAGACTTCCGATTGTTCTCAACCTACCTCCCAAGCTAGCTCCAAGGTCTCAGCTAGGTAAACCCCCCCCCCCCCACCCCCCAGCTCTTTGCCCCTGTGCCCACCTAAAAGGGCAGAGATGTTTGGATGACCGGCAGACTGCTGCAAGAAGTCGACCTCTCGACCTGCCAGAAAGAAGCAACCTTAATCTTGGAGTTCTCAAGACTTCATGTGGTGTGAGCCAAACCAACACCCGGCATCCAGCCGTCTATCAGCAAAAACCGGCACATTCGCCAGCTTACGCATCGAAGGCTTGAGAAAGCTTCTCGCCTTCGTGAATTGTACGGCTTAGGCCTCATGGGTCATTATCATTATCATTTGTATACTATATTTTCGTAGAGCCCACGCTTCGATCCGTATCCATCTGTCCGTGCGATCATTCCCAGATGTTGAACATCCTCAATATTTAAACTTCGCTCTGGCAAATCTCGGCTCTTAGCCGGGCACGCTTGAATTGTCTTGAAATCGTCATGATCTCTACTTTGATGAAACCCATAGGTCGGGGAATGTGCTTTGTTGGATTTCTTGCGGAATGCTTTTGAATCCTAGACCAACCTATAACCGTTTAGAACCACCCGTGTCTCTAGTCCTCATCATAACCCTCGTTTTGGGCTCCTATATATTGTCTTCCAATTCTCCTACGAGTCTCGACTCAGCTGTTTGACATCTTTGTCTTTGTTTAACTGCCGGTGATATTCGGAAGCTCCATGAAATAGAAGCACGGGCGAATGAGCAGGTATGTGCAACGCAACTCCGCCTACAGTACATGGTGGCTGTTGAGAGGCGGGAAACTTGTCAAATTGCGTTGAAGGCACGCACCATCCCCGAGTCCAGCTTGTCCCAAATCTTGACGGCCACGCGTCCTGGGCAAAGCGGTGCGATCTGGCCCCCTTGCTGGGACAATACCAACTGCAGCACATCAATTCAGAGGTAGGCTCCGAAGTTGTGGACCTTGTTCATGTTCAGCACCTATCAGGTGCTAAACCGCAGCGCTCTGCCATTGCTACACTTTCTCTTGGCTCCCTACTGTACGGCCGGCTGTCGTAACAGCGCTGGCAACGGTGCAATGCCTTTAGGCGTCGTCTTTTGAACTGCTGACGAAGGCACATCCCCCTTCAAAGGGATGAGCTTTCTGTGCGCATCGTACAACGGCAGGAGCGAGACACCTCCTCGGCATTTCAGAGGCTGACTGACTCGCCAACCGGGCCCGAGGAAACGGTAGGCCATCCGCATGCATGGGTTGTATGTCCCTCTGAACGTCATACGGGAAGCGCGCCAGATAAGCAATCCAGGACAGGAGTGCAAAATCAACGCTCGCACACCATCTGCCTATGTATGTATGTATGTATGTATGTACGTATGTATGCATGCATGCATGTATGTAGATGAATATATAATTATAGTTCTGTATATAAACATAGACATGTAGATAGATAGAATAAGTAAATCGGCAGTCAAGTAAATAAACAGATCGACAGATAGATATGCATATACATACAGGGCATACACAGTGTGCATACACGTGTTCCAATAATGCATGGTCGGAAGATGCCACATTTTTACACATAGGTAGAATGCAGTGCTGTATATTTCGTAGTAATACGCACGTAGATACATACATGCACGCATGCACGCATACATACATGCATACACACATATGTACATGTGCGCATACGTACAAATGCATATGCGTGTGCATCTATCTATCTATCTACCTATCTATCTATCTACCTATCTATCTATCTATCTATCTATGCATACATACATACACACATACATACATACATTCACCCGTACATACCACGATACATGTATGCATGCATGCGTTCATGCATGTATATGTAGGTGCATGTACACGTCAATGTATGCATGCATACGCACATATCGTTGTATGTGCGACTACAGTGCGAGTAGATTCAGGTACATGCCTGTTGGACAGGCGGACGAACTATGGCTGGACCGGAGGATGGATGAATGCCAACCGGCCCAAGCAAACCTCAGAGAGTTCAAGCTTGCACATCCCCGCCCCTCCGCCCGCCATCGAATACACCATCATACCCGCGCAGGCACCGATCGGATTGAATTCCTTGATCGGCCGAGGCGGGAGCTTAAAAACGTACCTGTCCTATCCATAATAATGCCCAGAACTCATCAACAAAGAGGATTCCGCCACCAACACGAGCCACAACTGCTGCTACCACCACCAACACGACCACCACGACGACGACTGCTGCTGCTACTGCTGCTGCTGCTACTGCTACTGCTACTCCTACAACAACAACTACTACTACTACTACTACTACTACTACTACCACCACTATCACGACCACTCCTACTGCTTCTGCTAGTACTGCTACCGCAAGCGCTGCCGCTGCTGCTACTGCTACCTGCTGCTCCACTTCTCCTGCTGCTACTGCTGCTGGCACTTGACAGTTACGCCTTGGCCAGAGTCAATCATACAATATGCGGTCCTTTGTGTGTCTGTACCTCTGCAACCAGCATGGTCACTATGTTCACGCGTGCCCTGCCATCAGCTGTCACGTTTGAGAACTGACGCCCAAGTGGCCAAAGATCGTCCCGTGGCCACCTTGGCCGCAACTGTTCGCCGAGAAATGGTGGCCTTAGACTCAAACCATCGCTGACGAAGCCGCACCATTGCAAGGTCTAGCGTCATTGGATGACACGAATTGAACAAGCTAGGCTCAATCTAGTAATGTGGCCGTTGATCTACGGCGGGACGGCCAGTGGCTTGCGGAAATCTCGAACTGCAGGCACACGAGCGCTTGCAAGCGCCTCGAAAGGTTGGTGATCTTAGTTGGAGCCTCCCTGGGTCCAGTACGCAGTTCACCCGCTTTTCTCGTGGAAAGCAGGCTCGGCATCACTCTGAAACACGCACAGCAACAAAAGGAACCCATACAGTCGCTATCTTACACTACATCGCTGAAAAGCCTTTGATCTCTGCAGCCGGCCATCTGCACACACCTCTTCCGGTCATGTTGCACTGCCGAACGTCCCAGCGAACAGCTCCCCGCCTCGTGACAGGTCACGATGAAGGTCTTAGGATCTGTCTCGGAAGGGATGGACTTGCTGCAAAGGTTTAACCCCTGGGGAGTCTTATTGGACTGGTGCCTTTGATCGCGCTGTTGCTCCTTGCCTTTTCTTGTTGCCAGACCCTGTACTCGACCCTCCCGCATCTGTTGTATTCCGTGGTAAACTCTTACAAAGCTGAGGCAAGCCCTGCTTCGTGTATGGCTTCTAGGGTTTTGCTATCCACAGAACTCGGACCCCTCCAGCTTGGCAACGTTTCACAAGGTGACGGCATGCTAGCGACATGATCGCCAGCGTCACAGGTCTTGGACATGCGTGTAACGTCTGTGAAGCCTCTCTATAGACTCTATAGATGCAAAACCAACCCCGGCAGAGCCACACATGCCTGCTAAAATTCATGACGAGGTGGTCCAGAGAGTAGTCACTGTCCCCAGCGTTCGTACAAAGCAGCCAAACCTTATGCTGCACTCGACGCAGGGGGCTTGGGGATTGCACACGGATGAGATGGGATGACCGCGTCCCAATGCCAATCTAGGCCCTACTGCAGGCCCAAGGCCGTAGCAGGCCAGTCTTTGCCTGTGCAGAAGATCCAGAGGCAAAATCCAGCCGAGCTTGACCATTCAGAGGTCTTGGATGCCGAGATGCTGCTGATTTGCCAGGATCCTAAGAGCAGCTTCTCAAGGTCTCCGAGTCTGTGCTTTCTCATTTAATAATAATAATAGTAATAATAATACTAGAAATAATAATAATAATAATAATAATAATAATAACTAATAATAACAATAATATCTAACATGGTTCAGGTGGTGAAGCACTACTCGCAAAGACCCGTTCGCCAAGCGTGGTGTGCCGGATGGCTCCTTGTCATCGAAACTCAACTCTCGTAGGAGCCATCGGTGCAAGCAAGCGGCCCGAGGGGCAATCAAAATAACGTGCGTGGCCTCCGGCGCTCTTGAAAAAGGGAACACCAGATTGGAGTTGACCTCAGAGTCAGAGTCAGCCGGACACGTCATATCGCATGGGCGGTACACAGCACATTCACATGCGCATGCTGCACTTGACCACTCAGTCTTCCTACGTAGAGAACCATCACCCCGCAAACCCCAAGGGTGAGCGAGGCCTCAGCATAACAAATATCCCAGCAGTGCCTGTGCACAAACGCACGGACAGACCGAAAGGGAGAGAGCGCCAGAGAGCGAGAGAGAGCGAGAGAGAGACCGAGAGACAGACAAACAAGCCGACACACAAGACAAACAGACAACGGATGGACAAAAACAAACCCTGACAACCAACTAAGTGCCCTCAGTACGACAGGAGGTAAAGTCAGTTGGCTTTCGCAGCCAAGGCACAGGGGCAAACATGACGTCCGAAAGTAACAATGGGATAAGCAAGGACGAATTGCCGTCTGCTTCCCATGTGATACCTGGCGTGATGCAGGCTTGGCACAGTACACTGCTCGGAATATCCGACATTTCGTCGTTCGTGAGTCTTTGCGGAAAAGAGAATCTGGGTCAGACCCACACCCAACAAACCGTTTTCCAAACAACGGAGCACGTCTTTACAGGTGCCTCCTGGAAGCTTTGCTACTTACTGCTACTTCCACAGTACCCTGCCCCAAAGAAAGCCTCTTCCGCGCCTGCTTTACTCAGAAAAATTGGTGACTGCTCGCTCGGCTTTTGAAGGCCGCTGAAGTCTCCGTACCTGTGGGACGGGCACCGCTCAGTTTCACTCCGCACGCCGATGGGGACTGGCTGAGCAATCCCTCCACCCTAGTATTAACGCCCCCGGCCCCCCCGCAATAGAAACTCCAAAAGTGTGCATGTTCATTATTATTAGTGTTTTTTTGGCTCTACTGACGCTTTTGACGGGTCTTGCTCTTGCTCTTGCCTTTGCTATCTCCTCTCTTGCTGTTGCTCCTGCTCTTGCCCTTGCTCCCAACTACTCTTGCTCTTGCTTCTGCTCCTGCTTCTCCTCCTGAACCCCCTATTGCAAACTAGGTTTTAAAAGGTGGGGATGATGTCAGAAGAGATTTCGGGAATTCTGCCTTTAGTGGGGTGTTCATGAAATGGGGGATGGGGTTAATCCTGTTCCGGCTGAACCAGCCCAGAACTTGGTCCTGATGCCTGCTGCTGCTTCTTGACTTTGCTGTGAGCGTCTGCCCCGAGGCAGCGCGCTGTAGGACATTTTCCTGACACGCGATCTCCCTACAACTTGCCTGAATTCTGGCTTAGTGTCTACCAAAGCTTCTGTGGACAACAGCCTTCGTCGATCTAAAAACCGCGTCATCTGCTTACAGTAAGATTCGTGTAAGATACCTCATGAAGAACTACAAGTGGCGTGTCCGGTCATGCCTTGACACCTGGTGTCGCAGCCCGTCTTTAATTCCAGCACCGAGATGTGTGCCCAGGCCCGTCTCTCGACTTAGGCAGCAAAATTGCATGCCAAGTCTCCAAACGATACCTTCGCTCGGCAGATTCCTCAAGAGCTCAGGGGTGCAACGGTGCCAAACAAGTGTGCCCACCACGCCACGGTAATTCACTATGGTGCTCCCAAGACGTGTCACCGAATACTTACCGCAGGGAAGTAAACCGCGCCCCGAAGTGCCATGCCCCCATGAATCTGATGCCTGCTCAGCAGAGAAACCGGCCGACTCAAGATGCCAACCGTGCGTGCATGTAACAGGCATTGCTTAGGGTGGGACAGGGACAGGGACAGCTAAAGTGGGCGGCAGCACCAGCAGCATGGCCACCACAACAATCAGGACCACGCTACCATGCCCGGAATCACCCTACCAGCAGGCAGCCGCGGCACCAGCACAGCACATACAGCACCATAAGCAAAACCATCACCACCAAAACCACCAACACCATCACCACAGGCGAAAGCACGAGCAGCAACCTCACGAGCACCACCGTTAAAACAAACGGCAGTGGCAGCGCCAGAAGCACCCGCACCAGACCAGAATTACGAACCATGGTCAAAATTCAACAACAACAACAACAACGACAACAACAACGACAACAACGACAACAACAACAACAACCAACACCAACACCAACACCAACACCAACACCAACAACAACAACAACCAACACCAACACCA